GTGAGACTGAGGCTACGCTTAGGCTAGGACTGAGCGTAGCCTCAGCCTGTGTAAGGAGAACTTACGCTTGAGCTGTTTGAGAGGGCAGCCTTGAGGCCACGCCCGCTGCGCTTCACTGTTACAGTGCTGTTGCGCGTGTGCATCCTCACCGTCGCCCACTAAGACGGTTATTTCAGCAGTTTTCTTCTCTTTGGAGCTTATTTTCAACTTTTTTTTACCAAATATATTGGTGGCGTTTACACTAGTGACGGTTTTGTTACTAATAAACTCACCGCCTCAATAGGAAGCTACCATCGTATCCTATTCAATAGCTGTTCTTGATAAATTAGATATTGAATTTGTTTGTTTGCATTCGATGATGTCGTTGATGATACGTGCAGGAATGTTATCCATTGATAATAAATTGTTTTCAGGCCAAATCAGTTATAAGAGTTGTTCGGGAAGGTGAGATTATCATCATTATTGTTGAATGAAGCAATGTCAACGAACAGTCTGCGTGAGCGCCTTCGACAAATAAGGTTGAGAACTTCAGTGGCAAGTATCAATTCAACAAACTTTTCAACCTCCACTGGACGCAGTCAGTGGTTATTTCAGTTTTCTTTTCTTTGGAGCTTATTTTCAACTTTGTCCAACTTCTGCTTAGGTGTCTTCTTTATCAGAACATTTCACAGACCTGAGCTAGGTTTGATATGAGTTGCTTGCAAACATTTTGAATTACTCATCCTGAAAAATTGAGAGAGATATTTGAAATGACAAGTTATGATGTAAGATTTGGGAAGAAATCATTTCATCGAACTGACGTGAAAATTATGAATTTTTTAAATGAAGATTTGAAAAATATAAACTTGAGATGAGATGGATAAAGAAAACAGTGTAATGACATTGCCAACCGATACACGCCTAACGAAAACAGCACCGATGCAAAATTTGGGTGGTGTTACTCGTGGTGGAACTGAGACGGCCGAGTTTATACCACCAACGCCGTCTCTAACTAATAAACCATTCAAAAGCACGCCTCTCGGTTTGTATCAATTTACTCTTTTTTTACCAAATATATTGGTGGCGACGTTTGCATACTTTCTCGTAAATGAATTCAAGCTGGCTCAGTCACATGACACTAGCCATAATGAACACATAATCGTCGACCTTTTCTGCGCATCATCCTCGAGGATTAGAACCATTCTGATATATCACCCAAATCACAAAAATGTTCCATATGATTATCTTTCCGACCGCATTACTGGTTATATTAATGCTTCTCAATTTCCATCCATCGTTCTCGAAGATTTTAACGCACCTCACATAAACTGGAATGATAACACCGCAGCAGATAACAATTGTAGAAAAGTATTGCACTTTGCACAAGCAAACTCACTGTCACAATTGATCAACTCACTCACGCGGGGAAACAGTATCCTCGACTTTATTTTCTGTAACCATAACGATGCTGTTTCTGATGTCAAAGTACGTGAACCTTTCAGC